TATTTTTTTTTGTTGAATTTGACTAATACTTTTTTTTATACCTTTTTTTTAGGTGATAGTTAATGGATTAATTTCACTATAGTTGGAGCTAATATTGTTGGAGCCATTATTAATGAAGTTATTATAAATGTTGTATTACTATTATATATAGATATTGTCATTACGTATTTGAATTGCTTTTGGGTGTTGCTATCATTTGATTTAAATCTGGTTTTGCCAATATTTTTTCTTGTTATCACATTTCTAACTTTTCACCTTTCTTTTAGTTTCAGTTTTACACTATTTGTTTTAGTGCTGCTGCTATAGTAGTTGTTGCATTATTGTATTGTCTTGAGGTAAATTTTATTATTTTTATAACACTTTATTTGAGGTAAATTTTGTCATTTTTGTGTCACTGACATTTTTTTCTTTGTTGTTACATGTTTAACCTCTACTGTTCTTTTTATAATTATTTTGCACTGCTTGCTTTGGTGCCACTGCTGTGATAGGTATCATGTTATTTGTCTTAAGATGAATTGTGTTATTTTTGTATTGCTAGCATTTTTTTTCTTTGTTGTGATCATTGATTTTAGTTTTTTGCCATTTGTTTTAACACTGCAACTATGGTAGATGATACATTATTTATTGCTTTTGGGTGAATTTCATCATTTTAGTGTTGTTGGTGCTCTTTATTTGATGTATATTTAACCTTCCCACTTTCTTTCTATAGTTGTCATTAGTATCAGTTTCATGCAACATTTATAAATAGGTGTTGCCATTATTTGTGTTGTGTTTGTGGTAACCATTTCATTGTAATTGGAGATACTATTGCTTTTAAAATACTTCTTGGCATCTTTTTTCTTGATACCATCATTTAAAAATGTTCTTGGCTAGGGCTAGGGTGAGCTAGTTAGTATAGTTAGGGTGAGTTAGTTAGTAGGGTTAGGGTAAGTTAGTTGGTTGGGTTTGGGTGAGTTAGTTGGTAGGGTTAGGGTGTTAATTGGTAGTGTTAAGGTTAGTTGGTTAGATCAGTTAGTGGTTATTTCGAATATGTACATTTGATATGTAACGATTCAATATGTTATGCACAACGGTTTTAAATCTGTAATGTTTTTTTTTTTAACAATAAATTATACATTAAAATTAAAAAAGCTATTATAATATTGTTATGTAATTCTTATCACATGACTAGGGTGCACTGTGGTGTAGATGTACCAAATTTTAAAACCCAAAAATATATATATTAATCATAATGATAAAATTTCTTACCATGAATTGTTGATATTAAGGTTGCATGAGCATTGGGTAATTACCTATAGGATAAATGCTAGGAGATCATGCTGCTTGGTAAGATTGATGTGGAAATGGCATACTTAATCGCTATTATTATATATATGATTATGTGTTAAGTTATTTAAAATTGGTTATATCATATTAACATGAGTTATCTATTTTATAAGAAATAAAATCTTGTGATTGTTGGTAGTATCAAATCATGGTGGAGAATTATTATCGTCCTCTGTAATATTGGCAAACTAAGAAAAAAATTTGCAAGAATAACAAGTTAGAAATTGTTGCTATTATTGCCAGTACTTCTATTATTGCCATTACTGTGCCGTTATTATCGATGTTTTACATTCGTTGTAGATATCTGTCCACTTTGAGTTGTGTTGGTATGTTTGGTATATTAATAGTAGATATAAAAGAACTAGTACCTGAAGATGCATTAGCTAGATTGTTTATAACCTATATATAGTCGAAATAAAATGACCTGTCAGACACGGTCAAGGCCAATTGGTTTGAAATCAAACTATCATGATGCTCATTGTTTTTTTCTCCAACTGATGTATCTGAAGAGTGAGAAAACATGTCACTATTAGAAGCTGATTTTGACTTATCAGAGATACCAAATGGTCTTGGAATACTCTGGAATTTCGGCATGACAAGATGTAAACAATAATTTTCTAACATCTTAAGAAATATTGATTTGCTGAATGGCTTGGCAAGAACATCATTCATTTCATGTGAAAGATAAAAACTACAATCTTGGTGTGATGCTAATAATTGGTGTGGAGCTGTCAAAATGTCTAATTTGAACTGTTGCCTTAACACCTAAATTTATATTATAGTAAATCATAAGATTAATGATATTAGAGAAATGAGATTCTAAAAAAGAAACTTACCATCCAACTTTGGTAAAACAATTTCCTATAAATTGCATATGGTAATATTAGAAAGTCAATCAAATCGGGTTTGCAATGCAGTAATGAAGAGCAGAACTTTATGACTTACCATGAAGACAAGATCATATTTACTAATCTTCATTTGATTAATAGCACCAATTCCATCTACTGCAATGTTGAACCAAATTTTTGGTATACCAAGTCATCATCTACTAGAAGAACTTTTGGAGGAACATACCAGACTGATACAAATATACTACAGTGAACGCACATACTATTAGAAGCATATTGCTATATTGTAAAGTATTTCCAACACATAGAGCATTTGTGTTTGAAGCGGATATGATATTTGATGACGACAAAGCATGCAATTGTTTGGCTTATATACACCAAATGTGTTGTTGGTTAGTGGTCACAAAAACGGTAACCAGTTAACTATAAATATTAAGCGTATGTACTTAAATTTGGTGCATTTACATTTCTTCCAACAGTAGGTGATGTCACAAAATAATTTATGATTGTGCGTCAATACCATGTGGTGAGCTGATGGTCACACGGGAAGTTGCATTTTGTGCATTATGTATATTAATTTCATAAAGTTGCTGCATGTTAATTTCATCATATTGAAACCATGATTGTTCATCTGATGCTTCGATCCTGACTCTCTTATTTTCAGGTGATAAACTAATCAAAGTTGATAATGTTGCTTGGTCATTATTATTTTTATCATTTGTTGATGAAATTTTACACTTCCTTTTTTTTGTCGCTAAATATTTACAACACATTTAATTATTAGTTTACATTTACACAGAAGAAATTGCAACAGATTAGCTTAGAGACTTAATTATTAGTTATGCTATATTAACAATCCCTTTTTTTGATGATTACCTTCAAAAGAATTAAACATATTTGAGCCTTCATTTGCATCATAATCTTCATCAGAAAGTATTTCATCAGAAAGTTCGGTATATCTATGTTATTGGTAATAAATTCAATATATATTTCTGATATACTCTTAAACTTAGCTAAAATTTTGTTCATTGCTAGGCACATGTCCGGATCAGAAGACCAGTATTTTTCATAAAGGTTTAAATAATCCTTCAATAGATTTTTCTCTTTCATTGTTTGAAATTGCTTGGCTTAAATGCACAAAATTGTAATTATTGAATGGAGGAATTCTGCTTATAAGTTCCCAGAGTAATACACCCAAACCGTAAATATCAGATTTCTCTTTGCATTCAATTTTTATTCCATGTTGTATAAAGCATTGCGGTTCTATGTACACCCATATGCCAACCATATTATTACCTGCACCTGAAATCGAAGCAGTGGTATTATTAAATCGGCTTGATATTCCAAAGTCTGTAATTAAGGCCTTTCCATCATCAATCAATATATTCTTAGAATGCTATTGTGATTTATAATAAACAATTATAGACTTAAAATTCAGTGCAGAA